TGTTTGGTGGGTGAGGTGTATTAAATACATCTTCAACTTAAAATAATTTCACATAATAATGGGCTTATCAGGATGTAACTCCATAAGTCAGAGAAGATCTGTATTAATAATATACTTCATGTAGCTGTTCAGTCTAAGTCGTGTCCGACCCTATGAGACCCCATGGACTGCAACACACCAGGCTTCCATGTCCTTCACTATCTCCTGGAATTTGCTCAAACTCATGCCCACTGAGTCAATGATGCCATCCAAACGTCTCATCCTCTGTTGTCCCCTTCTCCTCCTGCCTTCAATCTTTCCCAGCATCAGGGTCTTTTACAATGAATTGGCTTTTCACATCAGGTGGCCAAAGTACTGAAGTTTTGGCTTTAGCACCAGTCCTTCCAATGAATACTCAGGACTGATTCCCTTTAGGATTGACTGGTTTGATCTCCTTGCAGTCCAAGGGACTCTCAAGAGTCTTCTCCAGCACCACAATTCAAAATACTCTTCATAGATCAAACTAAATTATTTAGCAGGAAGCCAAGACAGACCCACCCATTTCTGAAGAAACGACCAGAGATCAGAGATGTTTATTTTCGTCTAATTGAAGAAATGTTTGTCTTGATTTTCTGTTGCCCAAGGTTGGAGTTTTTTCTCCTGGTATGTTGTCTCTAAACCCACGAGCCATTTTCACCACCAAGCTTCCTGGATTCTCCAGAGACACAAAAGGATATATACATATATATATATATATATATACACACACACACACACACACACACATACATACGTTTATGGTATTGTTTTTATTTAGTTCCTAAGGAGATCCAACCAGTCCATCCTAAAGTAAATCAGTCCTGAACATTCACTGGAAGAACTGATGCTGAAGCTCAAACTCCAATACTTTGGCCACCTGATGAGAAAAACTAACTCATTTGAAAAGACCCTGATGCTGGGAAAGATTGAAGGTGGGAGGAGAAGGGGATGACAGGACGAGATGGCTGGACGGCATCACCGACTCAACGGATAGGAGTTTGAGTAGACTCTGGGAGTTGGTGATGGCCAGGGAGGCCTGGTGTGCTGCAGTCCATGGGGTCGCGAAGAGTCAGACACAACTGAACGACTGAGCTGGACTGATGTCTGACTCTTTGTGACCCCTATTATATAAATATTATATACTGTTTATTATAATTATATATTATGTATTATATTCATGATGCATAATAGACAAATATTTGTATTATGTAATAAACATACATGACTATGTATTCACATATTTTACTTTGATATCCTTTTGACTGTCTCTGGAGAATCCAGGAGTTTGGTGGTAAAAATGACTCATGGGTTTATAAGGAACACAACAGGAGGGAAAAAACTTCAACCTCGGGCAACAAAAAAAGACAAACATTTCTTCAATTATAAGAGCTGAAAATAAACATCTCTGATCTCTGGTCACTTCTTCAGAAACGGGTGGGTCACTCTCGGCTTCCTGCTAAATAATTCAGTTTGATTTATGAAGATCCAGATAGCAGTAACTTAGCACTCAAAGAATAAGCCTTTTCCCTCTCATCTGGATTCTCAAGAATACACTTGAAGTGGTCTTTCTGATCCCCAAGTCCTGGTAAATTACACTGAAAGAATCTGAGCACAATCTTAGCTCCAACAGGGACATTTACAGCTTGGCTTTTTTGGTTGGTTATGTTACTGATGCCCATGCTTCAAACTTAGGAAGACTGCCTTGGTAATTTCTTTCTTTCCAGAAACCTCCTGACACTAGTTTCTTAAAGATCTATAAGTCTGTTTTCCTATTGACATAAATTCCTCCACTCAGCCTTATAAAATCCCTTTTATACCAAATATTTAACTTTACATGGAAAACAGTTGAAAATGGTATTAACCAGCAGATAGAGTTTGGAAAAACCAGTCAATCACAGATTATTCCAAAGAATTAACAGCAATAAATCTTATTTCCAGTGTTAACTACATGCATGTGTGCCTAGTCGAGTCTGACTGTGACCCCATGGACCATAGTCCACCTGGCTCTTCTGTCCATAGGATTTCCCAGGCAAGAAATTGGAGTGGGTTGCCATTTCCAGCTCCAGGGGATCTCCGGAGTCTCCTATGTTGGCAGGCAGATTCTTTACCACTGCGCCATCTGGGAAGCCCCCACCAGTAATTGGCACCTCCTAAATTATTACAAGACTTCCTTTCTGACAGCAGGCTTCCCTGCAGATCACAATGGGACTCACTGAAGACCACCGCCTCCTGATTTCCTGCTTGGACTGGTGGTGAAGCCCACGTTGAGGGAGAAAGATGGGGTGCTGTACTGTCGAGTTCTAAACCAGCCCTGGAGGCTATTCTATATTCTAGGTCCTTTGCAATTCTACAAAAATTTTAAAATCAGCTTGTCAGTTTACATACAGACGGAGTAGCCTGCTGGGGTTGTACTGAATCTACAGTGAATCTGTATTTTGGAATGACAGCTGAACAATATTGAGTCTTCTGACCATGAACAAGGTATAATACAGCACTGTTCACTTAGATCTTTGATAGTCCTATGTCTAGGGCTTCCCTGGCGACTCAGAGGTGAAGAATCCGCCTGCTAGCGAAGGAGACGTGGGTTCAGTCCCTGGGTCGGGAAGATCCCCTGAAAAGGAAATGGCCACCCCCTCCAGCATTCTTGCCTGAGGAACCTCATGGGCGGAGGAGCCTGGTGGGCTTACAGTCAGTCCGTGGGGCTGCAACAACTGGCCTTTCACATTTTTTATTCCAAACTACCTTATCTTTTTATGCTGTTGTAAATGTTTTTCATTTTGCTTTCCAACTGTTCATTGCTAACATATAGAAATATAATTGATCTTTGCTCATTACTTTACATCCTGCAGCCTCGATACACTCATTATTTCTAATACCTTTTAATAAATTTCACTGAATTTTCTACATAGATGATAATGTCATCTGTGAAAAAGAAAACAATTTTTTTTTTCCAATTTGCATGTTCTTAATTCTGTTTTTTGTTTGGCTGCAGTCTAGAATCTCCAATACAATGATTAAGAGACATCCCTGATTTCTCCCTGATACTGGGGGGAAAAAGTATTCGGTCCTTCACAATTAAGTCTGATGTGAGCTGTAGGGTTTCTGCAGGTGCCTTTTAATCAGATTGGGGAAAGTCCCTTTATTCCTAGTTTGCCGGATTTTTTTTAACCAGAAGTAGATTGTGTGAAAGTGAAGTGTTAGTTGCTCAGTTGTGTCCAACTCTGCGACAGCAGGTTTGTCAAATACCTTTCTAGCACTGATTGCAGTGATTATGTGAATGTTTAATGAACACTGCATTCCTGGTATAAATCCCATGACCATGACATATTACATTTTTTTATCATATCATAGGTTTTAATTCACTAAACTTTTGCTTCAAGTTTTTGCTCCTATGTTCATAATTTGTTTTTCAGCTTTTTGTCTGGCCAGGATACGTAGGTAAGTTTGAAACCAGGGTAATGCTGACCCCATAGAATGAGTGGTGGAATTTGTGTAGAACTGGTATTATTTCTTCAAATGTTTGCTAAAACTCACCACTGAAGTCACAGGGGTTATAGAAAGGTTTTACCTATTTCTTCTTGGGTGAGCTCTGGTAATTTGTGTTTTTCAAGGAATTCATCAATTTCACCTATGGTCTTAAATTAGTTCAAAGGTGTTCCTAAGACTCCCTATTAATTTAATATCTATAGGATCTTCAGTGATGTGGCCTCACTCACTCCTTATATAGGTACCTGGTCTTTTCTCCTCACTAATCTGGCTGGAGATTTATCAATTTTACTGATTTTCCCAGAGAACAAGCTTTTGGATTAATCTTTCTCTTTCATTTCATTGGTTGCCAGTTTGACCTTTATTATTCCTTTTCTTCTGCTTACTTTGGACTTACTTTACTCATGTTTCACTGCTTCTTAAAGTGGGAACTGAGGTCACTGATCTGAAACCTTTTTTCCTTTCTAATACAGACATTTAAAGCTACAAGTTACCCTCTAACTACTGCTTTAGCAAGAACCCACAAATTCTAGTTTTTTAAAAAATTCATTTCAAATTACATTCTAATTTCTCTTTAGATTTGTTCTTTGCCTTGTGAGTTATTTCATTGCCAAATATTTGGGATATTGAAGGATCTTTCTTTATTGATTTCTAACTTAATTTCATGAGGCCAAATTATTTAGCTTTTGAAAATTCTTAAGTTATTTTGCAGCTAACCAATATTTTAAAAAATGGCTCTTGATAGGTATTCTGGAAATTTAAGTAGTTTTCAATGGGTCCTTATCAGTCATATTGCTGGGGAAAAAAGTTCAACTTCTTTTTTTAAATTTTTTGGCCACTCTGTGTGCACGTGGGACCTGAGTTCCCAGATCAGGGATCAAACCTGCACACCCTGCATTGGAAGCGCAGCGTCCTAGTCATCGGACTGCCAGAGAAATCCCATTTTTAAACAAAAGCTGTAGCTGAGTTATGATGTCATGTTCATTTCAGGTATAAAGCACAGAGATTCAGTTTTACATATGTGTGTGTGTGTGTATGTATATATATATGCATGGCTCAGATGATAAAGAATCTGCCTGCATTGAGGGAGACCTGGGTTCGATCCCCGGGTTGGGAAGATCACCTGGAGAAGGGACCAGCTACCCACTCCGGTATTCTGGCCTGGAGGATTCCGTGGACAGAGGAGCCTGGTGGGCTACAGTCCATGGGGTCGCAAAGAGTTGGACACGTCTGAGTGACTAACACTTTCACTTTCTTCACATATATATTATATATATGCTCTTTTCCAGATTCTCTTCCCTTATAAGTTACCCCAGCTTGTTCTTTAACAATGTACAGTATCTCAACTTCCCTCCTGACCCAGAAGCAGGAACCAGCTGGCCTGAGGCCCATTCCTGAACCCACAAACAGGCTGACTTCAGCGGGCTTATGCTCCCTCAGAGGACTGATGTGAGACCTAGGCGAGGTAACACATGAACAGCACTTAATGCAGGAACTGGCTCTGTGAAGCATGATGTAAGGGTTGTCTCTTATTATGATGTGAAAAAGTGACAGTCACAGCGCGCATCTTACCCAAGGGTCCCAAACCCCGGGTCCCTGGCCATCCTGGCCCGGGTCCCTAGCAGTCGCCCACCCCACGGGCTCACGCGGACAAGGAGACACCAGCTACGTGCTTCCGCCCGCCGGACAGCAAGCCCAGTTGCGGGCAGAGGAGGGCCTGAGTCCAGAGCAGATGCGGGCGGGCCCTGATCTGAGAAACGTCATCCAACTCTGAGCAAACACAGTCCTCACGCGGCCACGAAAGACGACAGACAAACATCAACGAATGTGACTTTCAATTCCGTGCTCATCATGGTGGACAGTCGTCATTTGCACCCACAGCCATCTGAAGCCAGTAGTCCCGATTGTTAAAGATCACAAAGTTGTATAAATGTTCTCCTCCTTTCTGAAAACCGTGTTCATTTTCTCTCCAGGAAACAGGGCTGTCTGCAAAGCCTTGAACAGACAGCGTCACCCACGGGGCCAACTTTGGTTCGTCAAAGTAGCGACTGAAAAAGACAGACACTTCTTAACAAACAGGGAGACTTAGGGATGGTCACATTTATCTTCTTGTTTACTTATTCAGGATAAGTGGTATTTCTGATGCTCCTATGAAGCTTCCACCTAAGCTTTTATTCATAAAAATTAGAAGACAGAAATTCAACTCCCAGTGCTATGCTGTGAACTCAGTAAAGGTTCATCATGATGCAATGCACAGGACAAACTCACTGGCTCCTACCTTACTGCGGAAGCACATATGATTCAAAGAACAAAAGAGACCTCCACAAACTGTGTTAAGAGCACTTCCCCCCCTTTAAGAGTCCTGCTTTCAGGGGTTCTGTGAACTGAAACACGGCAGAATATCAGGTTTCTCTTTTAAAATTCATCAAAATTTTGAAACTTCAACCTTCTTATTGAGGAAAATCAAAGCACAAAGCAATAAATGTGAAAAAGGGATGCTGGATTTAAAAAGGAAAAACCTCAACAGTTACAGCTTTGACATTTTCCAAGTGACGACTTCGAAGGTGCCAGGCTCACTCTAGAGTCTTCTCAGTACGGGACCGGGGTGGCCTGATGCCGTGCTTACATACCACCTCCCTGCTTTACACTACACAGCCCGGGGCATGTCACTCGTGTCCAGGGGCTCACGGATGTTAGGGCTAGGCTGGATCTTAGACATGATGTGGATTCAGAGGTGGTCAACTCCTCTTCCCACCCATTTCAAAAAGTGAAGCATTTGGCAGAACTCCAACACGTAAAACAGGTCAGAATGTGTTCTGTGGAGCTCCGCTGTCTTCTTAGGTGATCCTGTAACTGGCTGCGCTGAAACGGTCTGGGCGAGGCAGGGCAAGAAGAGCAAGCAGTTTGTTCTCAAGAAGCCCAGTTCGCTCTGCTCTCCTTCCGAAAGGACAAGGATGCGGCATCATCATCAGGGAGAACTAATTACGTTATGTAAGATGATGTTACTGCACGGGAACCCACCCAAGAGGGGAAAAAGGACACATATGCGGGGGCGCTGTGGGCCCTGCATCCCGAGCGCTGCCCCCAGAACAACACAGAGGTGCAGACAGCAAGACAGAATAAGCAAAAAGGCGTTCTCACCACAGCCGTTCCAACAGGACACATATCCTCTCTGGGAGGATGAACCCCGTGACGGTGCACAAGGACGCCTGGGCCACCACAGTGCTTGGCTGAGGACAGCAGTAGGTTGACACAAAATTATAAGGCTCATTGTTTCTATAAGAAAAAAAAAAGAAAGAAAACGCCTCTATATCCACCACTTTCGGAATAGTAAACCCATTAGAAACGAGAAGCCAGCCCCTGCCCGCCGGGACCCGGGAGCCCTGGTACACACAGGTCTGCGTGACAGAAGACAGCGCCCAGCCAGTCGAAGAGCTCGCGAGCGCTGCAGGCTGCCTCCGGCTCGCCCCCGAGCCGGCCACTCTGCAGCACCGGGCACCGCAGGTCCCGCGTCGTGCTCAGCGATATTTTTGGCTGATGCTCCTGAATTCCGTAACCGGAAAAGTATGACATCATCATGGATCCTTCTGCACCTTCAGATACACCAAATAAGGCTGCTTCAAGAGTGTGAACATGCTCAGCAAGTCCGTGAGCCCACCCCGTTTCTGCCTGAGGGTTTCAGGAAGCAGGGAGGGTGAAGTCAGACCAGGGGGGCGCTGTACAAAGCTTTATTCAAAGTAAAACCATTTAAGTTGCTTCCAGCTCCTAGAGCCAAAGTTATGTCAACATTCGTCTTCCTGGAAAATCTGAATGCTTTCAGATGCAACCCACACTACTCTCATCATCTGCTTCACTAAGCAACTTTCAAGCTAGTAAGTAAAACCCAAAGCATTGCTTATGCGTCAATAAAATTAGTGAACTCTACACACACAGAGAAAGGAGTGCATCTGCACTCTTGAAGCAAACAGAGGAGGAGCTGGATGGCAGAACCTCAGTCCAGCTTGTCTTCGAAAGCCAGGAAGATCCAGTGGGTCCTGAAGGGTCTTCCGGTAGCCTTGGAAGACAGAGACAGCGACCCCCTGGAGCAGTGGGCAGGCTTGCTAACACTCCAGTGTATTAGAAAGAAGACCTCCATCCCGCTTCCCTCCCTCCAGGGCAGAGATCAGCAGGCTCACTGCCCAGGATGAAAGGTCTGCGCTGCTGAGGCTCCAGGCTGCCCTTCGGTAAGGCTGCCCCCGCCTGCACCAGCGTTCCCGGCCTGAGCGGCCCCCTGCAGGAACCAGGACCTGTGAACTGGTGCGGACGCTGATGGTTTGGCTGCTGCGACTGCTGGGAGTGAGTCAGTCCTCTGCTGCTGACCCAGGCGTCTCGGGTCTCCTGCCAGTGCCCAAGAGATGGCGCGGGCTGACTTCGCAGTTTGCAAGCAGGGCCAAAACCTCAGACCTTTCACAGGTCCCAACAAGCCCCTAAAATACCCAGGAGCCTTAGAACACAGAGCTCTCCAGAACCCAAGGCACAGGAGGCCCTCCACAGACTCCAGGCCACTGAGATGCCAGGCTCTCGGCCCCAGGGCCACACCACACACAAGCTGCACTGAGGTGCTGCAGACCCCGGGTTCACGTGGGCAACCCTGCCAGCACCAGGGACATGACCTTCCAGGGAGAGCAGACAGGGGCCTGCTTCCAAAACAGACCCAGGGCTCCCCTCTTCTCCGAGAGAGAACCACACCACGGTAACTATGATGCTCTGATCCCTTATAATCCTGGTTTGGGCCAAAGACAACACTTCGAAAAGGACTGAGGTACATGGCGGTTGTAAACAGATCAGAATGTATAGTGAACAATGTATTGTTCCAATCACGTAGGAGTTACAACAAACTTAATCTGACATTTAATGACATGCCTGATTCTGACCCTGCAACGATGAAGAAGCACTTTGTACATCACTAGAATTGTTATTTTAAAACATTCCGGCCAAGGCTGCCGGAGCTGAGCCGGAGGAAGGAAGGAGAGCAATGGGAAAGGTCAGCTGCTACGAGACCATCCTCGAGAGCCCTGGATGGATGCGTAACCCGGGGAGACGGAGGTAGACGGCTGCATGGCTGGATGATCCTGAACTACGCGGATGCCAGGAGACCGAGCAGCTTCCTTAACAAAGCTTACAGGCTCCCTGCTGTCCCAAAGTAGTGTCCCTACCAAACCTTCGGTTAGGTCAAAATGGCACAAAGTGAAGAAGCAACACCTTAAGACACACCTTGCTAACAGATGTGTGATATACATCAAGATAAAGCACAGATGCTCACAGACCCAGCTGGAGCTCTGACGGTGTGCGGCTAAGATGCTGAGTGCAGTTCTGGGGGAGGGAGCCTGGGGGTGTCCTCTCGCTCCTGGGGTGCCCTCCACCTCCATGGAGGCTCGCTGCAAGACACATGCTGAGCACTACTTTTACTTTTTTTTGGTAAAACTTAAGTAACGTAAAGGTTTCCCTGCTGGCTCAGACAGTAAAAAATCTTCAATGAGGGAGGCTTAGGTTCTATCCCTGGGTCAGGAAGATCCCCTGGAGAAGGGAATGGCTACCCACTCCAGTGTTCTGGCCTGGAGAATCCCATGGAAAGAGCAGCCTGGCGGGCTATGGTCTGTGGGTGGCAAGGAAGAGGGGCACACCTATATCCATGTAGGTAAGCAGCCTCCCTCACCAGTGGGCTGAATCACCACGCCATCCTCACTATGACCCTGCAACTAACAGCTAGATTTCAGCACCACTCTATCGTTATTACACAATTTATTTTTCATACCTGTTTGATGCCACGCCAAAAGAAAATCAAACTTCAACGGCTTCTTTTCTCTGAAGGCCCAAGATACTCTTTTATACTTCTTAGACTCCAGGTTAGAGGATAAATCCATCAGATCAATGGAAACAACTTTAAAAAATGGAGAGGAATAAACAGTTCATTCATACACACACAGCTTGTGCTGTGCAATACATGCTGAATTAAAAACATCAGGAGTTCTGGAAAATTCATGGATGAAAAAAGTCACTTTGTCTTCCTTGCCCTCCCTTTGGTTTACCAAATCAAAACTCTGCTTTTGATGGGCATTTGAGGAATTGAGCTAGTTACAACAGGTGTTTAAAATTCACACTTTCCCAGTCAAAGACCACGGGCAGAGATCACCTCTAATCAAACCGAGCCGGTGGCAGCCACGACCACTGACTTTCAAGCAGACCCAGCAGAGCTACACCCCTCAGGCACGGGTGAATTTCTACTAGGATCGTAACACTTGGGAAAATTAAAGGAAACTCTTTACTAAGAGCAAGCTGGAGCAGATAAAAATGTGTATATGTAGAATGGGTAAACAACGAGGTCTATTGTATAGCACTGGCAACTATAGTCAATATCCTGTGCTAAACCATCACGGAAAATAATACAGAAAACAATGTGTATATATGTGTAACGAAGTTACTCCGCTGTACCGCAGTAATTAACACAACACTGCGTATCAACCACGCCTCAATGCAAAATTTAAAAAAAGGACAAGCTGGGTTCATTACTTTGAACTTGCGACCCAAAACATATGCATCTAACAGACCAGGTCCAAGTCTACGACCTTCATGAGATGCAGTTGGTAAAATCACCTGGCTGCATAGCAGGATCTCATCCTCTCTGATAAGGAATTTTAAAGACAGACAAAGCCACACTGCTTCTACACAAAGAGAAGACAAGCAGTTCAAAGGTGTAAATCTGAATTCACTGCTACCTTTTGTGAGAAACTGATCGAGAGAGCCCATACTTACTGAATCTCATGGTCTTCCTGCCAGAATACTGAGACGGACGACCCTGAAGTCCAGTTTCTTCATAAGTGTCTTTATCCAGTGATAAAATTAATTTCCCTGTAAATCAAATAATAATTCACATAAAGAGACATTAAACATATAATGTGTTCTCATGTTTTTGGTGTTAAAAAATAAAATAAAAATATAACACGTTCTCTAAGAGAAAGCAAGGCAAACTGAGCAGTTAAATACCAGTGCACATAAAGATCTTTTTATAATACAAGTATATTATTTATCCATTATATCTTACTTATAAACAAGAATATTATTTACAATTACATGTACAAACACAGCATTTATTACAGTGAAACTAAAAATTATCTAACTTTTTATTAAAGAAAGAATAAACAAATTATGGTACACTCCTTTGAGATATTTTCAAGACATTAAACATAGTAAATTAAAACTGTATGCACTGATATGGAAAGATGTCTAGGATACAGACCTTCGGGAAAAAAGAAAATTGAGAAACAATAGAGTGTGACATAATATATGTCTTTTTTTAAAAAAAAGAACAGCCTGTATGTGTGATTTTAAATTCATAGAACGTATCTAGAAGAATAAATACCTACCTGCTAATAAGAGTGCCTGCTAAGAATGGGAACGAGTTTGGGGGGAGCTGGATGAAAGGGTGGACCATCACTTTACTCACACCTGTGTGATTTGACTTTTTCTTTTTTACAGAATGCATTTCCTTAAGAACGAAGGAAAAATTAGTGTGCTTACCATTTGGCAGCAGGGCAACAGTATTATCCTCATCAATATTTGTGTTGTATGTCAGCGCATAACACGAACCTGAAAGACAGCCCAGAGGAGAAATTAAGGGAAAAAAAACCACACCTGCAAAAAGTCAGTGGATGAGTTTGACATGATAATCGATCTTCCGGGTTACAGGTCCCGCTCACTCAGTAACCCTAAACCGGCCATGGTGAAGGTGGAAGACACGCAAGGCCAGGCCCCACTCGTCCACATCCCCACCCAGGGCCTGTCTGTGCACGCCGACTACCACTGCGTGGCGGACGCGTGCACCTCTGCGGATGCTGCAGAGAGGCGCAGAGCGGAAGAGCAGGTGAGGCACACACCGGGGACGCCGAAGACTCAAACCTGCCAAGAACTTATGTGCAGTCAAGAGAGCTGCTCGATCTCCCTGAGCCTCAATTTCCTCACCTGTAAAATGGGGCTGCAGGCCCATTTCACAATGTTGTTGCTGGGGTTAGGTTGAGTCACCCATGGAAAAGTGCCTGCCATGCCCAGGGCCTACATCATTAGCAATTAGAGCATCGAACTTTTTTTTTTTTGGCTGCACCACATAGTTTGTGTTATCCTAGTTCCCCGACCAAGGACTGAATCCAGGCCTTGGGCAGTGAAAGCCTGGAGTCCTAACCACTGACCGCCAGGGAATTCCTCAGTATCTAGTTTCAAAACTGACGAAAGAAATCATGTCGGTGAGACCAAAGACAAGAGGCCAGTGGCTCCTGTGCAGTGATGCCTGCAGTGAGGACAGATCCTTAAAAAAGACACTGGAATGGTTTCAAACGAGTGGCTCCCAGGAAGTAACTGGAACAAGCCAGTCAACCCAGCAGACACAGGTGGACTGAGGGCCGCAGGGTCCAAGCAGAAGACGCTGGGCCCCCGTCAGCACCTGGCCCTGCAGAAGGCAGCGTGGCCGCATCAGGAGACCCACGTGCTGAGACAGCTGTTGTGGGCGCTGCGTGGAGCACAGTGGTTCTTGCAGCCACGCCCGACAGCACTGTATCTGAACACAGCACCGCAAAGCTTCTCCTCTCCACGAGCTGTGTGTGACAACACCCCCACGGGATGCGTGTGGACCCGTGGAATCAGAAACCCAACCTGAGGGCGCACGGAGCAGGCTGAGCTGCTGAGGGGTGGAGGGCGGGCTGCACACGCCTGACCTTGCAGACGAGCTCCATCAGTCTGATTCGAACAAGGCAGGAGCCCTGGAATTGCGATGTGACCTCCCTGGCCTTCCGCATCCCACCACGTTCACAGACACTACATGGTTTTTCTTACCTTTCTTGACGAAAGTATTGATGAATTCGTATGTGATTAACTCATAAAGAGGTAAATCCTTCACAAGGTAATAGGGTCCGAATTCCATGACCAGATCTTTCAGTTCTTTTGATAGTATCCCACATTCAGGAATCAGAAAGGAAACCTATTGGAACATACAATATAAAAAACTTATTTTTTTATTAATAATAGAAACATGGTTGACTTACAGTATTATACTAGTTCCATGTGTATAGCATGTAATTCAGTATTTTTGCAGATTATACTCCATTATAGGTTTAAACAAGTTTTATTTTCATGCAGATCAACACCCAGGATTCAGTGATGACACAACATAATTAAGGCTACTAACCATTCCTCCACAGCTCTCAACAAAACTCTGAAATTAATTTACTAATCTCAGGAAAAGAGAAATCCAACAATTTGAGTTTTCCATTTCTGAATTCAAGTGTACAGTATAGGAAAATTGAATGAAAAAATAATTTTAATGGGAAACTCTTGCTTGAGTTTTATCTTTTGAAAATAAGCAATATATTTGATGTCCTGTTCCTGTCACCACATTAATTAATTTTTAGGGAAACAGAGTACAAATGATGGCTTCCCTGGTGTCTCAGTGGTAAAGAATCTACCTGCCAATGCAAGAGACGTGGGTTCAACCCTTGGGTCAGGAAGATCCTCTGGAAAAGTAAATGGCAACCCACTCCAGTATTCTTGCCTAGAAAATCCCATGGACAGAAGGAGCCTGATGGGCTATAGAGTCAGACACGACTTAGGGACTCAACAACAAGTACAAGTGAATATCCCCAGATCTGTGTATCCTGGTACCAGGCTGGAATCAGAGGAACTGTCCCTTAGGGTGTAAGGAATTTAGGGACACTGGGTGTCCCCACTGTCCTGACAGAAAAGCTCTGCACGTGGGCCGGGGCGGACACTGTGCACCTCCCAGACGTCTGTCTGTGATGAGCTCTCCACCCAGAGCAGAGACGTTCAACCTGACAGGTTTCAAGCGGTGCCCGCTGCTCCACACCTTGAAAAAGGCCACTCTCCCAAAGCGGGGACACCAGTGTCCCCGAGGGACCGGGGTCGGCACTTGTGTCTGAGACACTGGCCAGTGAGGCCTGAGATTAGGCTGATCAACTAAAAAGTGTGAGAGGCTTCACGGACTTCCATTTTAAGTTCTAGTCTGGAGTCCTCCCCACTTGCACGGGTGAAGGCTTCCCAGCAGACACCGCCCGGGAATCGGGGGCGTCTCCTCCTCTCAGCAGGTCCAGTAACTAACCCCACTGACGCCTCAGCCGCGAAAAGGGCCCCGGGGCCGGCGACGCTTCCAGGAAACACCAGCAAACATCGCTGTGTGCAAGGCCACCGAGGCGAATTTCTGCCAAAAGGTGCCCAAATACCGCCCTGGCGCTCTGGCTGGACAAGGCGGAAGGCAGCGGATAGAAGGAAGACCTCAGGGATCAAACCAACGCCCGTAAGCGATTCCGAGGAGCAAGCAGCTCCCGGGCGGGACCGGGCTCGACGGTCCGGAGAGACACGCGGGCGCGTGGCGGGCGCAGGAAGCCAGCGGCGGTGAAGCAGCGCGGCCGCCCCGCCCACCCTGGCCCCGCCCCATCTCCCGAGCCCGCCCCCAGGACGCAGCACGCCTGGGGCGGGGCCAGACCAGAGACCCCCATGAACCCTGCCCCGCCCTCCGACGTCGGGGCACCGCCCCCGCACCGGTGCACCCTGGAGCTTGTGGTCCTGAAGCGAGTCAACACACGAGCCTGGAGCCACGGAGACTACAGCTCCCAGCATGCCGAGCGAGGGCCCCGCCCCTCCGCACGACGAAGGCGGGCCCCCGGAGCAGAGCCCGGCTCTCCCTCAGCCTCCGGCGCCCGCGGGAGGGAGGGTGCGCGATTCGCGGACCCAGGGCCAGGACTCACCCTGTAATTGTGATAGTGCGTCTCCACGAGATGCCGGTGGCGCGACTTGTCATGGCCGAAGTTGGACTTCTCGCAGACCAGCAGGTGCCGGGGCACCTCTCGCAGCCGGCGCAGCGTAGCCATGCTCTCCCTGCGCAGACCCTGCCGGCTCGGCTCGCCCCGCCCCTCTCCTCGCCCCGCCCCCTTCCCGCGGGCGTGCGCAGTGAGCGCAGGGCGCACGTGCGGAGGCGGCCCGGGTAGGGGCGGGGCTAGCGCCGGGGGCCGGGCTAGGCCTCCGGAACCTCAGCAGAAGCGCTCTGATGGGTACAGGAAAGGCGCGCTGCGGGAAATGAATTCCTCTGGGCCCCAGGTTGCCCTTTTCCAAACTGTCAAGGAGGTTTCTGTTTAATACTTTCAATAGGACTCCTTCAGAACCACTTTTAAGAACCTTTTAAAAATATCCTTTTGGGGAATGCTCTAGCCATCCAGGGGTTTGTATTCGGTGCTTACGGTGATGGAGCCAGGGTTCAGTCCCTGGTTGGGGAAATGAAGATCCCACAGGCCGGCGCAACCAAAAAAAAAAAAAAAAAAAAAAAGNAAAAAGAAAAAAAAAAAAAAAAAAAAAGAAAAGAAAAGAAAGAAAAATAGCCTTTTGGAGCCGCTTTTAATAATTTGTTGCTGTTGGAAGTTATAGTGATAATTCGTTTTTCCATCTAATCTTTCTGACCAACTCCAAGTACTATACTACTACACACTTCTCAAACTGGAGTCTGCACAGCCCAATTCTATGCAGAGAGGATGCAAAACAACAGAATATTTGTGGCACAACTTTCTGGAACATCAATTTTACTATAAGATTTGGAAGAATAGAAGTTAAATAATTTAGAAGATGCATGGATGCGTGTGTACTCAGTCGTGTCCAACTCTCTTGCGACCCCATGGACTGTAGCCTGCCAGGCTCCTCTGTCCGTGGGATTTCCCAGGCAAGAATACTGGAGTGGGTAGCGATTGCCTTCTCCAGGGGATCTTCCTGACCCAGAGATTGAACCCACATCTGTTGAATTGTAGGCGGATTCTTTACCACTAAGCCAATTTAGAAGTATGTGTAAGTCTGGGCTTCCCAAGTGGTGCTCGTGGGAAAGAATCCTGCTAGCAATGCAGGAGACAGAGACGAGGGTTCTATCCCCTAGAGGAGGAAATGGCAACCCACGCCAGTCACATGTGTAAATCTAATCTAAAACTAAGACAGACTGGACAGTTTTTCATCATTACTCCTGTGCCTCAAATGTCAGATTTTCTCTGCAAATATTCTAAGGGACACCAATTTTCTATTATTTTAAATAGGAAGAATGACAAAGGAATAGCAAGTTGATAAAAAAAACTACCGATTTCCTAAATCACAACAAGGCAGTTAGATACAACTTAAAAATACCGTATTAGAATGTAAGATGCTTAAGGCATTGCTTCATGGGCACCACACATTTCAGTAGCAGTGGCCTCTCTCAGACCTGCAATGTCAGAGGTGGACCTCTCCTTGGCTGGTACTCCAAAGCTCTGCAAAGTGACTGTTGCGATTCTGACGGTCTACCAGTAACGTGTGAAAGCAACATGAAGCTCTTCTAACAAGGCATTTAGGTTAAAAGGTTGTATTAACTTTTGAAGGCTCCCTGTAGCTTCTGTACGTGTAAACTTCAGGTTTGCTCTACAAAACTGCATCGAAATGGCTCTGTAGCCCCTCCCCAGTGTCTCCAGCCTGCGCAACCACTTCTCTCTTTATGCTCACTGCCAGGCCCAGCCTCCCAACTGTCTTGCCCTCCTAGAGTCAGCATCCAGACTGATCTCTTGAATATATGAACAACATGACATGTGTCCAGGGCCCAGCATCTACACCTGTCTGCGTCACACACCGATTAACAGTAAAGAGATGCTTCTTTATGACTTGCTGGGTTCTGGGCACATAGTAAATACGTGTGAATGACTCTCCAACCACTTACTGCCCCTGGAGGACAAGGGGGATACTCTATTCACCTTTCCAGCTCTCGCACCATTCAAGCACACGGTAGCTGCCCCATAAATACGGTTGTTTAACAAATACTTATTTCCATATTTCCATACCCAGATCCTAACATTCCATCAGGAGTCAAAACATTAACGACTTGGATAAATGAACTTGCACTCAAATAGAGGACTGGCCCGGGGAGGGGCTGGTCCAGTTTAAGGTGGGTTTGCAGCAGACAACAGGTGGTCAGCCCGAAGGCCTCGCTCCCCGTCTGTTCTCCAGCCTGTGAGGAGGGCAGAGGAGCCACCGCCCTCCTGTTGGGCCTGGATCAGCCCCCCCCTGAAGCTGGGGCTCTGGCCCTTGTGGGCTCAGGCCTGTAGGGCACAGCCCCTCGGGCTGAACGGGGCTCCATCCAGGCTCAGCGATTCCAGCACTCTGGACAGCTCCGTTTTCCTCCAGGTGTCAGGGGTAGAGTCTGGGATCAGGACCCTGTCCCGCGTGTGCAGAGAAGGACTCAGGGCCTGCAGACAAGCTGACTCACAAGGAGCTCTGAAGAGTGCTGTCCACCATGGCCGGCGGTCTCATCTGTCCCACGACTGGACTGTCGAGAGACACAGGGCCACCAGCCAGAGGCCACAGCCTGAGCCTGGGAAGCTGCAGGGCCCGAGGTTTAGGGCACAAGCTCACGGGCCGGGGAAGGAAGCAGCTGTGGGTGGGAAGGCTGAGGGCGGGGGCTTCACGTGGACGACGCAGCCCTCCCGCTGGGCTGTCCTGCGGCCCAGGAGCCCAGGCGGTCGTCACCGGGTCAGGCTCAGGCCACCAGCGAGTCCTGGACTGCGCCCACGTGCAGCCCACGCACGGCACTGACGCAGCCTGCCGGTCCTCGTGGTTGGGGGGTGTCTCCTTTGGTTTCTGTTTGTCTGAGAAAGCATATGTCCCTTCACTTTTGAAGGATAATTTCACTGGATTCTAAGTTGAAGAGATTTTTCAATTTGCTTACATGATTTGTGAGACATCAGATTAAATTTTATCCCTGTCCCTCTAGGGGGAAGGTGTTTATTTTCTCTGCTTTATTCAAGCTTTTCTTTGTTCCTGATTTTTCTGCAGTTAGAATATAATATGTCTTAGTGTAGGGTTTTTGTTTTGTTTTTGTATTTGCCTGCATAGTGCTCTCTGAGATTCCTGGATTTGTGGTTTGGTGCTTATCATTAACTGGGGGAAATTCTCAGCTATTATTACTTCAAATATTTCTTCTGTTCCTTTCTCTTTTCCTTCTGGTAGTGCTATTATTTGTATGTTACACCTTTTGTAGTTATCTCACAGTTAACATTATTTTTGATTTCAGGCATTCCTTTGAACTCTTTCTTGGTTTCCATCTCTGCTTATATTACCCACCTGTTCTCCCCAGTGGGCTTCCCTGATAGCTCAGTTGGTAAAGAATCCGCCTGCAATGTAGGAGACCCCGGTTTGATTCCTGGGTTGGGAAGATCCCCTGGAGAAGGGATAGGCTACCCACTGCAGTATTCTTGGGCTTCCCTTGTGGCTTAGCTGGTAAAGAATCCGCCTGGAATGCGGGAGACCTGGGTTCAATCCCTGGGTTGGGAAGATTCCCTGGAGAAAGGAACAGCTACCCACTCCAGTATTCTGGCCTGCATAGTCCATGGGGTTGCAGAGTCGGTCACGACTGAGCGAGTTCTCTCAAGTCATCCACTTTCTCCATTAGGGCCCTTAGCATGTTACTCATAGTTATTTTAATTCCTGGTCCAATAATGCTGCAGTTTCCACCATATCTGAGTATGGTTCTGATGCTTGCTCTGTCTTTTCAAGCTGTGTTTTTTCCCTTTGTAGTACACTCTGTAACTTTTTGTTGCAAGATGGAACACAATGTCCTGGGTATAAGTAAATATGCTTTTAGTGTGAGGCTTGTTTGTATGGCTGGAAGTTAAGCTGTGTTTGCTCTCTGCTGTGGCAGGAGGTGTGGGAGGCTGGAATTCCCCGTGTCCTTGTCTTCCCGTCCCTCATCCTCTCCAGGTTCTGCTAGAGTTTTTCTCTTAGATAAGGCTCTCGGTTCTTCCCGCTGTCACCTGAGCGTGACGCGGTGCCCTTAGATGTGGTGATGAAACGTGCTAGACCTCTCAGTGGGGCTGTGCCCAGGTCTGCGAGGTGCTCCACCCCACCCCCGTCCCCACTCAGGTGAGACCCGGGGGCCAGGAGGGGCTGCAGCTGGGTATTTGCCCGCCCTCAGGACTGTGCTACTGCTAAGTCGCCTCAGTCGTGTCCGACTCTGTGCGACCCCATCCCTGGGATTCTCCAGGCAGGAACACTGGAGTGGGTTGCCATTTCCTTCTCCAATGCATAAAAGTGAAAAGTGAAAGTGAAGTCGCCCAGTCATGTCCGACTCTTCGCGACCCCATGGACTGCAGCCTACCAGGCTCCTCCATCCCTGGGATTCTCCAGGCAAGAGGACTGGAGTGGGGTGCCATTGCCTTCAGGAATGTGAGGCTCTGCTTATTCCCAAGGAGGCGAGGCTCCAGTGACAGTTTCCTTGCGGAAGGGCTTTTGTGAAGAACAGAACGCTCTGGGCATATTTCCAAAGACTACTTCTTCCTTCTCCTGTG